TTTGCCATATTCCATACCTCAGGTAGTTTCCCATTTTCAGTGGATATGTTGTAAAGTAAAAGGACACAAGTGCAATTAATGTGACATTTTATTGTGGCAACGTTTCGCTCTCCAGGAGCTTTGTCAAGCTTGACAAAGCTCCTGGAGAGCGAAACGTTGCCACAATAAAATGTCACATTAGTTGCACTTGTGTTCTTTTACTTTACATATTGTCGGTAATTCTACCAACATTATTACAGTGGATATGTTGAAAATTGTGGTTAGTGGCACACACAGCGTCTCTGTTCCCTCTCTAAGGGCCCACGGAGAGATGTTGACCGGTCCCACCGCCTTTCAGGTATCAAGGCTACTTAGTACCTTTTACACCCCCTACTCGGTTTCGTGCATTTCATCCAACATTTGTTGGTATATTCCTTGTTGGCATACCACTCTGTTCTCACCTCCCGGAGACGTTTCTGTCTCCACTGTAAATACTTTTTTAAGTCTCATGTTGAGCTGTGTGTGTGTGTGTGTGTGTGTGTGTGTGTGTGTAACTGATCAGTAATTAGATCCTAGAAAAACACCTGCCATCCAATGCTTTCTAAATAAAATTCTTATTTTCATCCAGTCAGTTTTTGTCCCGAGTGTAGATGTATTTCCTGTCTCCTGAAGATTTCAGTGGGAGAACCATCCACTTGAGCAGTAACTCATTAATGCATCGATTTGAATGCATTCAACTTGTACAGTTAGCAGGAACTCACCGTCTTGACGTGCGGAGTGTAGTATGTCAAGTAGTGTTTCGGGAATCCCGCGAAATACCGTGTGCGAGTCACAATGTAACACTCGGAACAGTTTGAGCGATGGGACGTGTGCCTCGACTCTGTGTGATAGTATCGTAACTGGTCAGAGGAAGTTCTTTCCTGCCCATGCTCTGTAAAGTGTCTGAGGAAGCTGTGAGCTGGTATCCGTGCCCACCCACAGCTGAGGCACTGTACTTTCGATGTTTAGGCTTGTAGTGAAGTGTTGGTAATATTAGGTTACTTAATATACATCTTAGCTCTATTTTAACTTATGTACTTATGCAAGAGATTGGTTATTAGACTATTAAGGCTTTATGATTCTATTAATATTACCATTAAGGCTGTTGGTAATGTAGACATGGTTGCCTGTCTGCCAGAGTATCATGTTACACCCTTCCCTTTACTCCCTCTCTAACTTTTTTCCACTGCCACCCTCCCATTCCCCTCAGGGAATCAACGAAGTTCTCATAGATGTATCATAGTGATGTTAGGAAGTATTTCTTCAGCTTTAGAATAGTCAAGAAATGGAACGAACTGGAGAATGAAGTGGAAGAGGCAGGATAGAGTGGACCTAGTAGCGACTGGCGAAGAGACGGGGCCAGGAGCTGAGACTCAACTCCTGCAACCACATATAAGTTATTATATAGGTTAGTACTCACACTCTCTGATCGATATCAAGACTCCTGAATTCTCCTCCAGATAACTAACGATGCTTCCCAGGAGGCAGTAACATGACCATCCAAGATTCATCACAGTAGATAACCTCAAAAATAATGAAATAAAAATCTGTCAGGACTTTACCGCGTATCCTTAATGCAGCCTCACTCACCCTTCTGCTAAATTAGTTGACTTTTTGAAAAAAAAAAATGTTAAAGATCGATAACCCACCACAGCATGGCACACAACCTCGTCTTGCGTGGCAATGTTTCCGTGCTTAGCTCTTCCATCCATCTTTGGTACCCAGAGACTGCGAGGCCGACTGTTGTACTTTACTGTTACAGTTTTTGACTAAACGGTTACTCAAGGTGAGGGTTCGTGCTACTCCCGGGAGTGACTCCTGTAAGAGGGAGGGTCCCCGTAGGACACTATTTTGAGTTTCGCATGTTTTATTGTTGGTATGGTCAGTGTTGTTCATGAGTGAATCAAAGCCCCACTTATGTGGTTGACCTCGAGGTGTACTCTCAGACGTCTGTTCCCGTGGAGGCCTGTCGCTTCCTTAAGGTAGTAATGGGTAACGTCACAGAACACATGTTCAAAAAATTTTTCCATCGCCAGAGCTTGTGTACAAATTATATACACTGTATACAAAGTTCATGGACAAATAAAATCAAATAGTGAAAATAGTTTTAGAGATAGCCTGAGAACACTATTCTACAACTTTAGCACACCTATACTATTATGAAGTGAGCAAGTCAGAGGCACAAGAAGGCCTGACAGTCTGAGGTGCTTCTTGGAGCCAGGTAACTTTTCCTAAGCCGCCAAACCTCTCAATGAATCGTCATAAGGCCATAGCACCTAGTTAACCACCCCATACCAGTGTGGGCAACTTATCTTAGATTGTAAACTAACCGTGTTTTTGACTGGCTAACCTGGAGTTTACCTGGAGAGAGTTCCGGGAGTCAACGCCCCCGCGGCCCGGTCTGTGACCAGGCCTCCTTAGGTCAGTGTCCCAGGATGCGACCCACACCAGTCGACTAACACCCAGGTACCCATTTTACTGATGGGGAACATAGACAACAGGTGGAAAGAAACACGTCCAATGTTTCTACTCTGGCTGGGAATCGAACCCAGGCCCTCGCCGTGTGAAGCGAGAGCGTTAACCACCAGGCCACCAGAACCACCCTAAGATAACATGTAGGAAAGTAGTTTTAGATTATGTGCACCAATTACAGAGTAATTGCCCCAACGGAGTGCTGAAGTAGCAGTACCTGTCACGAACACTCCTTGTTGCAATCGGTGCATCACACTGAGACCTTGTTGGTGTCCTGGGAAATGATTTGGCAGATGCTGAGGGGAAGACTGCTATGTAAAACTCGCTCTGTAGCAGTCTTCTGCCTTATTGAATTTGCCACATACGTCCTCAAGAAGAGGAAGGCCCAGCGAGACCTAGAACTGAAACAAGTTATACAGGGTTCGACAGAACATTGGTTTTCTGGACCTCTTTTAACAGGAACCGTCATTGTGAGATTAATGTCTATGAGAGGAAGATCAGACACACATCTCACTCTTAACCACCTGTTTGCAGGTGCTTCTCCCACCCTCTGTTAAGCTTGTGGTGTGCAGCTGACTGTGAAACACATTTTCGACTGCTTGCTCACGACTTAAACCTTCTCGCTGTCCTTATGACTTTTATAATTACCGGGGCAAATGTTGGAGCCTTTACGAAATTTTAGGGGAGTATGACATTAACAATTTAAATTCTTTTAACCTGGTGTATGTTAATTATTATTTGTTACACATATTTATTTTTATTACCAAGTGCACTTGATCTGTCTAGGTAAAATTCTCTTCGAATTTCTAACCTACCTACTTACCATCACAACTACTGTCATTCACCAAAAAACCTTCACTTAGAAGAAGAACGTTCGAATGACGTTTGTGTCATTCGAACGGATCATTGTCAAATCACAGCTGAACGCGGAAAAAAACAGATAAAGCCTAAAAAGAGGACATGGGAAAAGAGAAGTAACAGGATATAAGTATAATTAAAAGTATTAAAAGCGCAACAGTGTTAATAGTAATAAGGAAATAGCAGTAGTAATGGTAATACAGGTGGTAAATGTAATATTAGAGTAGTAACAGCCGTAATATAATTAGTAATATTGAAAGAAGTGGTAGGAGAAAATAACTAAACAGAGGAGCATGGTAGGAGGGCAACTGGCCCACGTATTTAGGACAAAACTCCCCATCAAGGCAAAAGGCAGAATAAGTAAAGAAAATACCGAATACTAATGGCAAGGAAGGAGGGACAGCAAAAATTAGGTCAAGTCAAAGATTTTCTGAAAATTTTGAGCTTTTGACTACGTAATGGGAAGGGAGGCTGCTACAAAAACAAAGCCTGAACAAGTAATAATAATAATCTTTATTTATACAGGTATATGATACAACTTACACAGACATAGCTGACATTAGTGACATGTTATGTAGAAAGCCCCTTGTTATGCAGTGCATTTCGGGCAATTTAAGCTAATTTTGTCTCCAGGATGCTACCCACACCAGTCGGCTAACACCCAGATACCTACTTGCTGGTAGGTGAACAGGGACAACAGGTGTCTTAAGAAAACACGTTCTAATGCTTCCATCCGTACCTGGGATTGAACCACGAACCTCAATGTGTGTGAGGTTAGTGCGCTACCAACCGAGTTATGGGACGTCTCCATGTTAAGAAAACTGTGCATAAAATCTTCTTCATTTAGGCGACGTCTTTGAAGGCCAGAAGAAAGGTAGATAGTTTTAGCTCATTAAATCTGTCAGAAAGAGAGCGGCCAGTCTCACCGAAGTACTCGAGAGACAGAAAGAACAGAAAATGGAGTAGCCACCGAAAATATCAGTGACAAGTATAAACAAGATTAGTGTGAAAGGTATTTATTAGTCTAAGTTACAGCAAATTTTATATCTAATGGGCAGAGGGAGTTGAGAAGATTTTTAATATAGGAAATGTAAGGACAGCAAAGAACCGAGGATTTCACAGGGAATGTGTGTTTAAGAAACAAGAAAGTTCGCTTAGCAAGAGGGTAATAGTTTATGAAATCGGGAGGAGAGTCAAGGCGAGAGTACGAGCTGCGAAGAGTGGAAATTTCAGGCTAGGAACTTAAGAGTCACTGATGTGGAGGGAACGAAGGATGAGAGAAGCAAGAACACTTTTCTTCTGGCCTCCTCTGCCTTGTTTATCGCTCAGTTGTGATATAACAATGATCCAGGTTGGACCGAAACATCATCTTAAACGCCTGTTTTCAGTGAGTTGTTCCAGCCATGGTATAGTGACTGCATTCTTCACAACAGCCATTGACTGGTACCTGCATACCGCCACTATTACCACCACCACACTACTATTCTTCCCAATCTGTCACCGCTAACCTACACCTTCATCTCCGACATTCACCAGCACCAACACACTAGAGCAGCGGCGCACTTCCAACCACCACCACTGTCACCATACACTGCCACCACTAACCTTCCTCCTCTGCTCACAATAATCTGTGTTGGTCTCATTGCTTGCAGAATGACGCTGCCCGGGAGGTTTCACGAATTAAATATCCACTACGGTGTCTTCTTGGGCGGGATGGGAGATTTCACGGAAGTTTTCCTGGGTCTTCTTGATGACTTCCGCGGCTGCATGGATCAGGTCAGCAGCATTACCCTCTTCGTACTCTTAAAACAATACTTTTTGTTTAATACTTTGCAAAGGTTATTAGGTGAGTACCTAATGATTTATCAAGTGTTTAAAGCAATATACAGTGGACCCCCGCATAACGATCACCTCCCAATGCGACCAATTATGTAAGTGTATTTATGTAAGTGCGTTTGTACGTGTATGTTTGGGGGTCTGAAATGGACTAATCTACTTCACAATATTCCTTATGGGAACAAATTCGGTCAGTACTGGCACCTGAACATACTTCTGGAATGAAAAAAATATCGTTAACCGGGGGTCCACTGTACTAGTAATATTTTATATTATGAAATAAAGTTTAATATTTGGTTTAACAAGAGTTTAAATTAATACGTTTTATCTAAATGAAGCTTAATCAAGTTTCCTTTGCTTATTTTCCACTTCATTATAATACATTGCTAAACAGCTACAAAAAGTCCTGGTCACTAGTTCGGATTGAAACCTTAAAACAGGATTAAATAGCATCTTATGTTGAGCATCTTGCCATTTGCATTAGTTCCGTATTCAATTGCTTTGCAATTCCTGGGTACGATTTTCCTTGCATAAACCACAGAACGGGTGGGTGATCAAACCCACAGTAGGTGAATCCTAAAACTCAGAGACCAGTGTGTTAACCACTGGTCCAGCTACCTGTAATAGGATTTATCCAACTAGGTATATTTCTGTACTCCATAAGGAGGTTAACATGACACCACTGTGACCACAGATTCACATTTTTATAGACAAATCCCACAGTATTTGGGAACGTAGCAGTGGTGGTAGTAGCAGTGGTGGTAGTAGCAGTGGTGGTAGTAGCAGTGGTGGTAGTAGCAGTGGCGGTAGTAGCAGTGGTGGTAGTAGCAGTTTGGGGGTAGTAGCAGTGGGTGGTAGTAGGGAGTGTTGGTAGTAGCAGTGGGGGTAGTAGCAGTGGTGGTAGTAGCAGTTTGGGGGTTAGTAGGCAGTGTGGTAGTAGCAGTGGTGGTAGTAGCAGTGGTGGTAGTAGCAGTGGCGGTAGTAGCAGTGGTGGTAGTAGCAGTGGTGGTAGTAGCAGTGGTGGTAGTAGCAGTGGTGGTAGTAGCAGTGGTGGTAGTAGCAGTGGTGGTAGTAGCAGTGGTGGTAGTAGCAGTGGTGGTAGTAGCAGTGGTGGTAGTAGCAGTGGGGGTAGTAGCAGTGGTGGTAGTAGCAGTGGTGGTAGTAGCAGTGGGGGTAGTAGCAGTGGTGGTAGTAGCAGTGGTGGTAGTAGCAGTGGTGGTAGTAGCAGTGGTGGTAGTAGCAGTGGTGGTAGTAGCAGTGGTGGTAGTAGCAGTGGTGGTAGTAGCAGTGGTGGTAGTAGCAGTGGTGGTAGTAGCAGTGGTGGTAGTAGCAGTGGCGGTAGTAGCAGTGGTGGTAGTAGCAGTGGTGGTAGTAGCAGTGGTGGTAGTAGCAGTGGTGGTAGTAGCAGTGGTGGAAATAGAAGTGGTGGTAGTAGAAGTGGTGGTAGTAGCAGTAGTGGTAATAGCAGTGGCGGTAGAAGCAGTAGTGGTAGTAGCAGTGGCGGTAGTAGCAGTGGTGGTAGTAGCAGTGGTGGTAGTAGCAGTGGTGGTAGTAGCAGTGGTGGTAGTAGCAGTGGTGGTGGTAGCAGTGGTGGTAGTAGCAGTGGTGGCAGTAGCAGTAGTGGCAGTAGCAGTGGTGGTAGTAGCAGTGGTGGTAGAAGCAGTAGTGGTAGTAGCAGTGGTGGTAGTAGCAGTGGTGGTAGTAGCAGTGGTGGTAGTAGCAGTGACAAGGAAGCAGCAGCAGTAATGTTAATTGTAAAACAAGTGGTAGAAGTATTAGTAGAGAATAGTAGTAATAGTCTTGACAGAATGAGTAACAGTGATAGAAGTGATAGTGTAAAATCCTACATTTGTGGTCAGAGTGAGATACAATAAGCTTTGTTAATAATGTTGCACATCGATCATCTGAGGAAGCACCAGAGCCCAAGGCGGTCTATTCATAGGAGAGACTTCGAGGTTGAAAGATGTTCCCCGTGAATCCCAGGATCAACCCGGGAGTAGGAGAGGTCATACTCAGCTGCACCGAGTGACTGCTTTAATTTTCCTAACGAAACATGGGGTTTATTTTAATTTGTGTTTGCTGATGCATTGTTCAGGCAGAAGAAAGTTTGTTTTCAACGGGACAATTGAATAACTGCTTGGTTGCACGGCAGTGATTGGTTGCATGGACAAGGTTTTTGCTCTACGAACAGGGCAGCTGCAAGTATTTGCAAGTTGCCGATTTGTTCAGTGTTCTTCAGAAATCTGCATTACTGTGATTTGGGGTTGAACAATCAGAGCAAGAGTGCTGGTAAGCCAGCAGTTGCATATCACTGATGATAGTCAGCACCAGCAAGCCAGAGGATGCTTACTGTTTGAACGATTTTTTCTGAAAAAAAAGTAAGAAAACATTTTCCAGACTCATGACGAACAGAACTCCAGCAGCATCATCAGATTTAACGAGTCTCTTGTGTGGATGAAGGTTCCTATTTTCTGCAGTCATATTCAACATTATCCAGATTTGCCTGAGCAATCTCTGAATGATGTTTTCGGAGGACGTCATCATTAAGGCCCGGTCCTAGACCAGGCCTTCCACTCCCAGACAAGTCCTCCCGGTCCCAGACAAAGCCTCCCGTTGGATCAGGGCCTGATTCGTTGTCTTCTACCGCAGAAGCTCTTCTCTCAAGCTTGCATTTCCTCCTTTGTAATAAAGGTATGTGCCTGGAACATACTTTGAGTGCCATCCCTCCCTCACCATCTTGTCTGCTTTTCCAGTCGCGTCCAGTTAGGCTGTAACCGTATTTCACTCTGGAAAGTCTTTTGTGGAAGCCTTTGAAAGTTGCAAACATTGCATATGATAAACGGTATTTTATTGTTTTTTCTTGGGTTGAGACCTTAGTTATTTGTAAACACCAAAAATGATACAATGCTAGTCTCTGTGCTAAGGGCTTGCTGATTGACTTAGTATCTGTGACTCTGATGAGCCAACTACTGCCTCTGATGAGCCAGCTACTGCCTCTAATGAGCCAGCTACTGCCTCTAATGAGCCAGCTACTGCCTCTGATGAGCCAGCTACTGCCTCTGATGAGCCAGCTACTGCCTCTGATGAGCCAGCTACTGCCTCTGATGAGCCAGCTACTGCCTCTGATGAGCCAGCTACTGCCTCCTAAGCAGTGATAGATTTTAAAAAATTCTTTCCCACATCTTGGCACTAAGCAATTCCTGTTGGTCGTATGATTATGATTTGCATGTTCGAGCTGGCATTTATCTGGGTTTGAATGGGGTGTACCCTTCTTGTGGAAGGTAGAACAGCTTGAATCATAGCATTGTACCTATACGGCACATCTTCGGGTGATAGAGCTTGCAAGATCTGGAGTGACATGTGTCTTGAATTTATTTAAAGATTTCAACATTTCTTGGGATGATTGTATGTGTAAGTTCCGTTTGTGTTAGTCACAGCAGAGTCCTACTTGCAGATGCCCCAAGAATTGGATTGGCACATTTCAGGTTGCCGTTGGTTGTGGTTATGGTGCTCTGAGTTGCTAGCTGGTGCATTTTCTGGATGTGTTCCAGAGCCAAACCCAACACTGATAGCGTCGCGACCTGTACCATTGCTACCACCAACTTCAGTAGTACTAGCTTCTCTACAAGCCTTGGGAGCTCAATGAGGGTTGTTAGCACTAGCATCCCGATACCTCGTGCCTCATGTTTACAACTTTTCCTTTGTTTAAAACACTTGCCTCTGTCCTCCACAAGGTTCATTCATATGTTCTAATACCTTAGTTTGAACTCATTCCTTAAATTTTATCTTTTAAATTACATTTGAAATGATTAATGCTTCCTAATTAGCAAGCTAAAACTGATAAAGGAAATGTTACAGAAATATTTACCGACTTTCATACTTGAATTTGCCACACTTATCACTTGTTTCTCTTTTCCTGCAGGTAATGTACAATGGTCTAGATATTCTGCGGGAGGCGCAGGAGGATCCCAAGTCGTCTGTTGTATATGGCGTCGAGTGGGAGTGCTCGAGCGAGTTCGAGGCCACCCCAGACGTGGCCATCAGTTTCATCAGACCCGGTGCCTACGTGGCCTTCCAGGACTCATACCCTAGAACGGGAGGGTCTATTAAGACTGAGATCAAGACGCAGTCACAGCACGCACTCCTGCTATACAACACTGGCCCACCATCCAGGTAACTGACTTGTTGAACGTAGTTGCCATCCAGGTACTGACATGCTGAAGTACCAAGAATCGTTTTTGTTTACGTAAGATATTCTTCATATCTGCCTTAACACGATCATTTCAAGGAAGTTTAATGATGTAATGTTGTTCTAAACGGAGGAGATTGAGGGTACAAGCTATATACCGTGACTGTATAAGCTATTTATTGTAACGGAATAAACTATATACTTTGCAATCATGGAACAAGCTAGGTACTGTAATGGTGCTAGCTGGGTACTGCAATGGTGCTAGCTGGGTACTGTAATGATACAAGCTACATGCCACGTATTGTAAAGGTACAAGCTAAGTTTTAAACCAAGTTTTGCACTCCGTGATTACTCTCGTTCTTCACCTACAGGTCAGACTTTATCGCTCTGGAGATCTACGACGGCCACCTCAGACTTATCCTCGACAAAGGCAACGGAGCTGTCGGTCTAAATAGGTACATCATATATGCATCTGTTTTTGTAGTTTGTGTGTCTTTTCCACTGCTAAATGGGGCTAATTGTCATGGTAAAATGTACATATATATATATATATATATATATATATATATATATATATATATATATATATATATATATATATATATATATATATATATATATGTTTATATGACCTTGTTTATACTTATATGTTGAGCATTTGAGAGGAATTCTAAACAGTTTAAAGTTTTATTCTAATTTTTCCTTACATTTGATGTATCTATGATGGGTTTCGAAAGTTTACCTATTCTAGGAACCGGGCTCTGGGCCAGGCTTGCTTGGCCAACCAAGCTGTTACTACTGACGGCCTGCTGGCCGTCAGTAGCAGAGTAACCTTTCCTGAAGCCATATTGACGATCACAAAGTAGTGAGTGGTAGTCAAAAAACTCTGTCATTTGTCTTGAGATTATTGTCTCAAGGATCTTACCATTGATTGACAGGAGTGACACTGGTCTGTAGTTGCTGATTTCTGCTCTGCTCTTCTTTTTGTGAACAGGGACTACATTTGCCTCTTTCCATAGAGAGGGCCATTTACACTGTACTAGGCAGTGCTGAAAGATGCGAGTTATAGGTGCTGCTAGCTGGTCTCTCTCTCTCTCTCTCTCTCTCTCTCTCTCTCTCTCTCTCTCTCTCTCTCTCTCTCTCTCTCTCTGTCTGTCTGTCTCTCTGTCTCTCTCTTTCTCTCTCTGTCACACACTCACACACACACGCATAACACCTCCTCCTCCTCCTCCTCCTCTCTCTTTGTCTCTCTCTCTCTCACGTAACACCACCACTCGCGTAACACCACTTCTCTCAGGTAACACTGCGTATCTCAGGTAACACTGTCTCTCTCAAGTAACACCACCACTCACGTAACACCACCTCTCTCTCACGTAACACCACCTCTCTCAGGTAACACTGCCTCTCTCAGGTAACACCACTACTCATGTAACACCACCTCTCTCAGGTAACACTGCCTCTCTCAGGTAACACTGCCTCTCTCAGGTAACACCACCTCTCTCACACCTAACACCACCACTCACGTAACACCTCCTCTCTCACGTAACACAACCTTTCTCAGGTAACACCACTACTCATATAACACCACCTCTCTCAGGTAACACTGCCTCTCTCAGGTAACACTGCCTCTCTCAGGTAACACTGCCTCTCTCAGGTAACACTGCCTCTAGAGAGGCAGTGTTACTCTTGCGGATAATTTGCCTTCACAATATACGTTTACAATATTGGTCACTGTGGACCCCTGGTATTATGTTTAGTGTGACATGTAAGTACAGATATATGTTGGTATAATGATTTTAGTGTTAAAGTTCACAGAGATATTTTCCTCTCTTGAAACATTTAGTACTGTTCTTAAAAAAACCCGGACAAACACACTGAACATTATTGTCTGTGTTGCTCTCTCTCTCTCTCTCTCTCTCTCTCTCTCTCTCTCTCTCTCTCTCTCTCTCACTCTTTTTCCCTCCCTCCCTCCCACCAACCCCTCTCCCCTCCTTCTCGAAGTCATTCCTCCTAACACTGCACAATCTCTCCCCCAGTTCTATCTACATCAGCGACGGAGTGTGGCACAAGTTAGAAGCTCACTTCCAGCCTTCGTACATGGAGCTTAGCGTCGACGACCACATAGAAGACCAACCAACCCATGTTGGCGAGAATAAGTTTTTTGACCTCTCTGGTTACCTCTTCGTCGGGGGAGTGGAGGTCAATAAGCAAGCCCGTGCTGTCAGCCAGGGTGTCAGGAATGGCGATAAGAGGTTAGTGGTGTGTACTGCTGTGATTCCTTCTTAGTTACTGAAAGTAGGAGAGTTAGGGAAAGAGTAACGTATGCACAGATTGAGATAATTACCTGGGGAACGTCTCACCACGACTGTTTTCTCTAAGTATAACACAGAATAACCTGACCCAATAACCTAAAAGTTGTGTCTTCCGTAGGATGAGCCGATCAACTGAAGAACTTCACGGTATTACCATGCTAATTCAACCTAAGTAGGCTGGATTATCAAAATATTTGCAATTATAATTTATTGTAAACGTAAATGTTTGTTTATAGGGATGATTATGTCTTCTACCAAATATTTAGAAAGTAACTGACCAAATTATAATACGTTCATAATGCCTATTTATAATTCATCTGTTATAAATACAATGACAACGTTTGTCACTACTTTGAAGATTATCTATAAGTACACAAATACATCTATAATAAAACAACGATACTTTGAAAATGTTTCAAATAAGACCCCAGACTCCAGACATCCTGTTGTTCGCTGCTTTCAGTCTAAGAAACCAAAAGTATAAGACTGTGTCTAATAGCTGATTTAATACATTAATTACCAGGAGGCAGTTCGAACCAAAAGTTACATACACAAAAAATATTAATGGCCGATAAATTAGCAGTGAGTAAGAAAATATTGGAGCCTACAAGACTAGAAAATACAACTGACTTTAAGAGAATAGATAAATTCTCGAAACTCTTCGAAGGTATTAATATTCACTTACATTGATAATCTTGTATAGGTCATAACTGTATTAAACAGAGCAGATTTGCACCTCAACCTAAATGGAGTTCAAACCTATAAACTGTCAACAATTGCAACAAACATTGCACTAAATGGAACCAAATAAATTATGATCTTAGTGAAATCTGTTGTTAAGGCAGTATGAGGAAGAAATTTAAGCTGATGTCTGGAAAGCATGAGCTCAGTGGAACTGAATATGTTCTCATGACACGCGTTGAGAAAAGTAAAGAGAAAATGTAAGCTAAGGAGAGAGAGAGAGAGAGAGAGAGAGAGAGAGAGACGGAGAGAGGGAGGAAGGGGTGGATGGAAGTTCCTTCTCCAGGTGAAGACGAGAAATAAAAAATTTTTTTTTTAAGGTTTTGAACCTTCTCCAGAACAAAATTATTGCAGGTTACAGATGCTGAAAACTTTGGGCTAAAACTCAGCCGAAACTGTCCATTAGAGTCCAAGGGAGGATAAATGCCTTGTCTGAAATTGAAAGTAACCCAAAATATTTCTCGTTTGCAAAAATATATCACGTCTAATATTTCTGTGTTCATCGAGCCATTAATCGGAATAAAGACTGTCACTTGAAATATTAATGAAGAGTGACACTTAAAACTCAGTCAAAAAAACTTGAATTGCTAGCTGGCCTAAACCCTCAGCCTCAGGCCTATGCTCTGGACCTTGATATTCATCAGTATTCCAAATGCCTTAAATAGCGTATGGAGACGCAAGAGCTATCCCAGACACAAAAAACAGAGATATCCACACTCCATAAGGTTATGACAGAGCAATTACAAAAAAAAAAAAACAAGAAAACTGTTGTCTTACAACACTGTCGTATCACGTTATCAAAACCTCTGAAACAGTTTTATGAATCAACTTTATTAAGCATCCACAACTAAATTTGCCAACTCAGGGTCATGTGGATATGGAACAAGTTGCATCTCCATCTCTCAGTTACTCAACTATTATTGCGTAGTCTTGGATGCACTAGGAGTAAAACAAAAAATGTGTAAAGTACATGTACACTTAACAAAATAGTTTGAGAAACGTGATCAAAAATCAAAGCTTGAAACAGCAGCAAAAATGTGGATGAGAAATGTTAATGACTTAGTTTTATTAATACCAGACGATCTTGTGTTCAAAGATCGTAAGTATTACTCACAAGCTCAAAGTGATGGACTGGATAACTAGAACCTTCACAACAAGTGATGCCATGCCAATGAAGACGCTCATTACGTTACTTGTTCCTTTTAGATTAGAATACTGCTGAGCACGAGCAGTTACCTGGAAAGCATGAGAAATAGCAGAGAACTTTCACTACCTATATAAATTAGATGCATTTTGCTTGCACGACCCGAGAAAGGTATCCCCATATTCCGTAAGCCCAGCCTCCTCTACTTTAATGCATGCAAAAGAAATAGTGGAGTGTTGTGATTAAATTCCATTAAACAAAATATAAATAATTATTGTGTATTCGTTCGCATGAATTTTTGTACGAATGTGCACTTTCTTATTATATATACACATGGATCTGTGTGTATAAATAACAAGAAAAGACACAATACCGTGACTGGAACGATACACAAATAACCCGCACATAAAAGAGAGAAGCTTACGACGATGTTTCGGTCCGACTTGGACCATTGACAAAGTCACACTGACTTTGTAAATGGTCCAAGTCGGACCGAAACGTCGTCGTAAGCCTCTCTCTTTTATGTGCGGGTTATTTGTGTATCTGTGTGTATCTATATGCATCTGTTTAATTTGTGTATTTATATATGCAAATTTTTTTTATATGCAAACCTGTGCACATGGGTACTTTTGTGCACGCGCAAAGATGAACATTTTGAATGAGGTTGGAAAATAATTGGTTTGGTGATAGGTAACACTTATTTTAAAAAACGAAATCATAGATCACAGCTTGTTAAAATATATATATCAGATCATTATACGCCATTTACCTCTTACTGAGAGTCAGAGGTAAATAAAAGTTTATAAATTAAAGGAGAAGAAAGAGGGGATAATGATAGAATAATAAGGTCGAAAAGATATGGTGTAGATTTAAGAATGCAGTGTATGAGTGTGCAGCAGAAGTTTGTGGATATAGGAGGGTGGGTGAAGGAGGGAAGAAGAGCGATTGGTGGAATGACGTGGTGAAGAGAGTGGTAAGGAAGAAAAAGATAGCATATGAGAGGTTTTCAGAAAGCTGAAGGGAAATGAAGGTGGGTGTGAAGGCTTACTCAGCCCTGTAACAACTTCAGACAGTATTACTCAGGCTGGCTCCTCCTCAGGAAAATTAATGAATAGAAAAAGAAATAATAATTCACAAAGATAAACTCTATTTATTAAATCAAACATAAAACAACAAAACATGAAAGGTATATCCTATTTGAAAGAAAAATGAAAAATGAAATGAATAAAATAACATTTGAACTCAACGCTAATATCTACAATGGTGTCTAGTGTTGGTGACACTGTTGTTGAAACCGTAGCCGTTGCTGATGATAAGGGGGGGGGAGGTCGCAGGTGTTGGTGACCATCCACTGGCTAGTTCTTCACAGAGAATCGCCATGATTATTATCCCGATGACAGGAAAGCAGGTTCTTTACCGCTGCAATGCTGTGGAGTTACGTCCTGCAATTTCATACAGGTGCACAGGTAGTTCAATACAAAATGGAGAAGTCTCTGGACGTTAGTCCTTCTCCTGTTCTGCTCTTTGATTGCCAGGTGACCCTCTCTGACATCCAAGCTGGAAGGACAGACAGGTTACCCACTGCTTAAATGATCACTCTCCATGGTAAGTCTGATACTTAAAAGATGTGGTGATTATTACAACAGTCAACATAGAGCAAGGCTGAAAAGACTAAGTTTATTATTGATCAAAAGTGAAGCTTTTAACCAATAAATCCACTAGAATACAAGGCAGGCATGTACTTACAGTAGTGTTGGGAGCTGTGAGTCGAGTGATTTACTGTTTGACCAGAGCCCCACACGTCACCTTTCGGGGGGGGGGGAGGAGGAAGGAAAAACGGGAGTGTGACTTACCCTACCTTAACTAGTAGCCGGGACACAAACTATCAATTTAGGGGTTGGGGGAGAAAAGGCAGGAATATCCGGAGCTAGACTGACCCTACCTTAACGAGTAGCCGGCAATGAAACTATTGTTACTATATATTCCCTCTCTACTCCTATCTATTGAACTTTTCCCTCACATTCCCCCATACCATCAGCAACGGCTACGGTTTCAACAACAGTGTCACCAACACCAGACACCATTGTAGATATTAGTGTTGAGTTCAAATGTTATTTTATTCATTTCATTTTTTATTTTTCTTTCAAATAGGATATACCTTTCATGTTTTGTTGTTTTATGTTTGATTTAATAAATAGAGTTTATCTTTGTGAATTATTATTTCTTTTTCTATTCATTAATTTTCCTGAGGAGGAGCCAGCCTGAGTAATACTGTCTGAAGTTGTTACAGGGCTGAGTAAGCCTTCACAAGTGACGACCTTGCCAGGATTCGAACCTGGAATCTTCACAGTGGGGAATATGAAGAGTAAAAGAGAGGTTAAGAGAGTTATGAGGGAAAGTAAACGAGAGAGAGGTTCTGCTAATTTTTTCTAAGAATAAGAATAAATTTTGGAAAGAGAGCAATAACCTGAGGAAAGTCTAGGGAACAAGTGAATTTAACAGTCAAAAACACGTAACTATAAAAAAAGAGGTCTTTCAGGCATCTTGAGACAATGTTATTCATTGAGAAAAAAAGGGGAATGTATAAATATATTACTAACGCTCTTTTTGGGGGTGAAAATCAGGGGTTGCATTGTTGGGAAAAAGGGTTAAAAGGGAAATGAAAAAATCGTTCTGAAAGCTTAATTTTTAGCCGAAAACCGTGTTTGTCTTAATTCGGTCTCAACGGTTCCCAACTCCGTGCCCAGGTTTTTTTGGGGATTTTGGGAAAAAGAGGGGTTTCTAAAAGAAATATCAGAAAGGCTGAAGAGATTTTTTGTGTGCATAGGTTTGGACCCAACAGCGTTTTCGATAGAGGAAGACAAGGGTTTCAAGATATACGAAAAAAAAAACCCTTTTACCCTTGTGATCTTAATGGAAGTTTTTTCTTCCCTCTGCCTGTGCCAGACACTAACTGTCCCCCCTCATGATCTGTTCCCCAACACGTATTGCTTCCCTAAAGACCTGTTACCTGACACTGTTTTCTTCCCTCTGCCCTTGAAACCAGACACGTATT